TTATTTATTGTTTACAACCCTCTGACTTTTGCCCCTTAAAAGTTCTCAGAGTGTGAGCTTGAGTAATTGCATCCTTAGCTTTCTTTCTTTTTTTTGTGTGTGTGTAAGAGAGAACTTTATATCAAAGAGCAATTGTCCATTGAGAAAATGTCCTAGCCCAGTCCAGATCAAGTCCATAAATCCGATATTACCCCATATGTCTGATATGAATCCACAAATTCCTCTTCAGACTCACACAACCATGCAAAGGCTCTGAATGCAGGAAGATCACAGGCCAGTGGGTGGAAAGTATTGTGGATCCAGTGGTGGTAGAAGCATCTCAGTGTGGTTTTTTTATGTGCTTTTTATAGTACTCCTGTGCTTTAGGCAGTTCAACTGTTATTCCCTCCAGCCTGAGTTCTTTAAAGAAGAGAATCTTGTGAAGAAGAGCAGCATTCAGGTTTGACCATGTAGGATGCGCGTAATTCTGTGCTTGTTATTTTGTTTTCAGTAGCCCTTTGAAGTTATTACTTAGATAAGGCTCAGAAGCTAAGTAGCCTGTTCAAGGTGTGGAGCAATTGCTTAGTATACTGGGTTTCACACCTAAATTTCAAAGCACCTTTTCCTTTCTTTGTATGTCACAGCTCAAGGTTAATTTCTCAAGTAAATGAGCTTGCTGAGCCTAGGTAGTTATGTAGGAAGTGGCTTGCAGGGGTTCTGTGTCCTCTTACCCCATATCTAAGCTCCTTCCCTTGCTCAGGCCTTCTTATCGTGTCTGATAGACTCTTCAGAAAATGTAGATGGCATATTTGGAAGGCATTCTATCCTTTGAGCATACATTTAAATAATTTTTTCTTTGCTGTAGAAGTGTGTTTACCTAACCTTAGCCTTGATGAATTACATTTAATCCCAAAAAACACATTTCTGGTTAGAAGGTAATGATAGGCAAAACAAAAAAAAGGCAAAATAATCTCTATTTTGCAGTATTTAAGTATGAAGAGCTCTTTGCTTTGAAGTATAACAAGTTAATTTTTCAGAGATGAAAGCTTAAAATACTTGCCTCATTGAATCTCTTTTGGGATGTTAATTTTCCTGTTTGTTGCTTCGACAAAGTAGAATAGCAAGGTAACAATTGCTTGTTTTGTTCCAGGAGAATGATGCATCTGTGAGACTGAAGATTGCATCTCTGTTGGGTTTATTATCAAAAACCTCAGGATTTTCCCCAGACTGCATTATGGATGATGCCATTAACATCCTGCAGAATGAAAGTAAGTGGCAATGTAAATGCTTTGAGCAGAAATCTTTTAGTTCCTTTAGTTGAGAAATTTAGACTATAGCAAAGTGTGGTTGTTATTGAAAAGGAATTTGAGGATGCTTTGTTAAAACTAAATATATATATTAGTTACATTAGAGTTAAAAATATAATTATGTATTAAAATAAAACCAAACTACCCTTGCTGACATTTCAATTGCTACTTAGAGTGACCTGGTGGGTTCAAAATGACAACTTTCAGTTAGCAGCCAAGTGCTTTTTTCTTTTTAAGTTGTGAAGAATTTTTAAAAATTTTATTATTAATTGAGAGTTAATACATATATCATTCCATAGTTCAATCACATCAAGCAAAATTATACAGTTGCTTCCACAATCAGTTTCCAAACATTCTTTTTCTTCCTGGACCAGTGCTTTTTTTAATCACCAGGGCACCTTGTCTTACCCCCCTGAGTTAGTTAGTTTATTGTGCCATCCTGGCCGAGGGATAAATGGGTGGTGAGCCTTGCCTTTCAAGCTCTCTGGTCTCTTGCTTTGTGATGGTCGCAGCAGGGTGCAGCTGCCTTAGCAGTTCCCTGCTTCAGCTTGCAAG